TGGTAAAGGTTGCTTTCATACAGGGTGGCCTGTATTATTCTCCGAACATACTTTGATTTATAAAAGCTCTTTATATAAACATTTGAATCTCAGTAAATTTGAAAACTATTGGAACGTGAATTTAGTTCAAAAAGAGAAACTAAAGTCCAGTTGCTTTATTGGATCTGGACTCTTTCCTGCCACTTGACTCGATAAATTATCAATAAGGTTTAGATTGAGCTGGTTTGCTGGTTCTAATTAAACTAGGTATTGGATCTGCTGGCTGTAGGCAGTCGGCATGTCCTGGTGGAAAATTAAAGCGGCATCTCTGTAAATCTTGTCAGCAGAGGAACCGCTGGTGAAAACCCAGCGGACCAGCACTGTCAGCCGACCCAAATCATCACTGACTGCAGTCACTTCATCAGAAAGTTTAATTTGGTGCCTTCCCAATCTTTCTCCAGAGTATGAGATCATGGTTTCCCAATCAAATGCAGCATTTACGTTAACTTGAAACCTGGATTTTGGACCTCTTTTTCACATTGATGATAATTCCAACATCTCCTTGGTTCAATTGCAGCAGTGTAACCTAAATGTGTCTGTGGGAGGTGGCTGTTAAATTTACAACCCCCCCACCCTGCTGCACCTTTTTCCACCTCTGTTTTTCCTTCCACTAAACTTACCCTTAATATGTTTGCATCCAGCAATATGAAATTAGCCAGCTTCTTTAGCTGTAACTTTTCTCTTTTTGACTCTAAAAACATTGAGTCAATATTAACCAATATAAATGCTTATACATCACTTTGTGTTTAATAAATCTGTGCATTTCACTTTTTAATTGAATTACTAAAACAAATTTATCTAGCCTTTGGTTTTTAAAATCTCAAAAGGGTTTATCCAGGTCACTTTTTAATATGCTAAAATATGCAGCCTAATAAAAGCAAGGCACATATTACTATCCTGTTCATTTTACTGTATTTTGAAGCGTTGCATTTTGAAACAGTGTCAGGCCATCCCATGAGAAGAGGGAAAAATATGACCTCTGCACCTCTATTTAAATGCAGTCAAGCTTGACCAGATTGACTTATTAAGTTCCAGTCTTCAGAGCTCCACATTTGGATCTCGGTGTCAGGAGGTCTTGGGCTACACATGCTAAGATTGTTCAAATTGTGTAATTAGATTTGGCATTTGCATGAAACAGTCATTTCAGCTAACAGCCGAAAATCTTTTTTTTTATTGTTGTTATTATTTCTATTGATTCTTTTTCTATCTTTCATTTACCCTTGCTGTGAGCTCTTCAGCTGGATGTGCATGTTAATGGCTTCGCTAAGACCTCATCTTCATGTTTCATTGTTGGATATTTACTGACATTGATTTCCGTATTGACAGCGTTTGCTGCTGGTTCTCCTTTCCGCCAAGGTGAACCTGTGTGCGTCTATCTGTGTTTTCATGCATTTGCAGCCCCTGTGTGTCTGCAGCTGTTTGCTATTCCTTACTGGACTCCACATATCAATCCATGAGTGTCACATGGCACGTTCAGGGGGCTAAACTGTTGCCCTCAAGGGCATGTTGTCATATCAAAAGTACTGAGGGATGGACATGCACAGGTTCACCTCCAAGAATACAATATGTTCAAATAAACGAGTACATTGTGGAAATGGGAGAGTGGATTGACCACTGATGTGTGGTTTTGTGTGGTGAAAACAAATTGGTGTGGAAAATGAGAGAGCTAAATGAATGTGTACTGCAGTAGACACATGAATTGTGGGACGAAAGACTCCAATGGAGACTTTTTATCCGCAGGGTCAAGAGGCTAGCATAGGGGAGATAACTTGACCTCCACTCCAAGCACACTTGAACATTTCTGACTGAATCGATTAAGTGCGTGGGACTTTAATTTGAGCTGCACAATCAATATATGCCCCGTCTGGTGAGGAACTAAAATGGATTCTGCTTCTGTTTTTATCTAGCAACCTATTAGATAAAATAATAAATTAGCTTTATCATTTTTTAGCTTGCATTTTGAGAACAGATGAGCAGAATGTTTTGCTGCAATTATTGGTGTTTAGTGTCTCACTGGCTTTTAGACAAATGGTTTGAAAAATTCAAGCTGTATTGAAAATGATTATTTGTGCCGAGCTGCTTGTTTGTTCATTCCAAGCTGGTCCAGAAGTCACACATGGTGACTTGTTTTTATAAAATATGCAACATATTTGGATTTATTTTCACTTTAAATGTAACAAATGTTTCTTTATGAAAAAAGAAAAAAAACATTTTAAAAAACTCTAAAATGCAGGGTTTCATCTGCCTATCCATTCATCCATCATCCAGCTGTTCATCATCCACCCACTCATCATCCATCAATTTATCTATCATCCATCCATTCGTCTATCATCCATACATCCATCCATCATCTATAATTCATAATCCATCAATTTTTGTCATCCATCCATTTGTTTATTCGTCCATCTTCATCGATCAATTTGTTATCCATCTACTATCAGTTGTCTATCATCCATCCCTTATCAACTATCAACTCATTGATCATCCAGCCATCATCCATCCACTCATTCTTCATCCACATATCCGTCCATCATCTATAATTCATCATCCATCCATCTACCCATCAGCGATAATTCATCATCCATTCATCTGTCAATCATCATCCATTAATTTGTCAATCATCTCTCCATCATCCATCTTTCTCTTCCTCATCCTTTCATCCATCATCAGTCTGTAAATAGGATAAACAGTCATATTATGGACACAATTTATTGTAATTTTGTTTTTAGGGGAACTAAAGGACCTCTCTAACCAGCAGACATCACCTGTCCAACCGGGAGTGAGTGTACTCATCGGCTCTCTGGAGAGTCTGGTTAATGTACTGTAAAACTGTAATAAAACTGCTATAAAGTAGCTCCTCGCTGATCCTCTCCTCCTTCATTTTAACTCCTGGAAAAGTGTCCCCCAGTTAATAGGGCTGTGTTTGTTAACAAGCCTGTGAAGTCCTCGTCAGCAGCATTATCACAGCGACACACAGGCACGCTTGGTTTTATCAGGCCTCTCTGTGGCAGCGACAGCAGACAGCTCTGCAATTAGTGACTCAGAGAGGAAGGCAAAGAGGCACACAGCATTATTACACATTGCCAGCTGTGTCTCAACACCGAGAATACCAATACATTGGCGTGTGTTCAGACAGAAGCACATACATTCATACCTGTTGGCTCTAAAGTGTGCTCTGCCTGAGACCTTCTGTAGTGTAAAGTGTGTGCCGAGTGCAGCTCTTCTCATTATTAACAGTTGTGCTTGCTTTGGCATTGTAGAAGAGGGCAGTCTGCCTTGGCCAGCAGTCACAGCAATTTACAGGTCTGTCAGAGAGAAAGAGGTCAACCAGAGGAGAGAATTAAAGAGCATTTAGAGCTGTGAAATAGACTGCAGACGGGAAGATCGAGCTGCCAGTTGACATATGATGTGTACATGTTGACCTTCTTGCAGGGTTTTTATTGTGCAGTCCTGAATGCATTTGCTTTATTATGCAGCACTCGAATACACAAACTCCGGTGGCTGTTGGTTTGGCAAGATGTGTGCATAACGTTTGGCTAAATGGAAGATTTATCCACATTTTAGTTACAGACTGTCTGAGGAGTGCCTGATGGCATCAGGATTTATGCTTAGCACCATAATAATCTAGTTTTAGACATTATTTTTCTGTGGCTTGCAAAGAAAAGGAGAGCAGGGGATGCACTGCTGTTCATTTCTCTGTTATTACTAATCTAATTCCATTAGTCAACCGTTTTGAAATCGAGTTGAAGCTTTTCCTCTGTGATACAGTATCATTTCCAGTGGACTCTCAATGCTGGTCACTGAGACAGGAAGTGTCAGAAGGCCAGCCAGCTGAAGCTACCAAACAAACAGCAGCACTAAGATAAATAGATTCTCCGTGACAGTACTGTTGAAATCAGTGTTCAGAGACTGACTGCAGACTAGCGGTGGCCTCCTCTCCCCTCAGAGAACAAACAAAGCAACAATTGTTAGCTGGAAGCTGAATACTGTTCCTTCAGCTTTACACTAATATATAAATGGTGAAAAGTCGTTTTCACTCTGTTTGCTTTAGACTTCTCAGGTCTTTCTTAAAAATGTGGACATTTATTTATTTTTTTACAAGGAGGGTATTAATACTTTATTTGGTAGCTGATTGCTAGATTATTAACTGTTCATCCCAATAACTCTCTCAGTTAATCTTGATAATAGATTTTCACTTTATGTTCAACTTTAGTAAAACTACCTTTTTTACATTTTTGGTATTTGCAGAAAATCTGATCTGATTGCATTTTTGGAAACGGGGAAGCAATAATTTCCTCTGCCTTGTTGGTAAATATCATCAATGGTAATATTTACCAAAATCACCCATTTAATACCATACAAGCTGGTATTAGCTGATTAAGTAGTCAGGTTATCTGCTCATGTAAAAAAAAATCTCTTGCTGTTTTACACAACCAGAAATATTTAAAAATGGAAAAATTATGTTTTATTATACCAAGCAATTGAATTTAGCTTTTTCTCAGCCACTTGACCATTGTTATGCAGCAACACACTGGGGTTGTGCAGCAACACACTGGGGTTGTGCAGCATCTCATTTCTCTATGCTCCAGAAGAGAAAATGATGTTCCATACCATTTTACTAAACCAACTTTAAACCTTAAGAGCTGCATGCCTGAGGGGTTTTAGTGGTTTTTGAGCTGTAAGATGTTAAACATGAGTATACCTTGACACCAGTAATGGGGCCATACCTTACTCCAATTAACTTAATGAGTGTTTTTGTCATATTTTGTCTATTTAGCGTCAGGTTTTGTTGGTGTGATGAAATGATGGACATTATTTAAGGTTTAAAGGCTTTGCATATTGATTTAAAATGAGGTGAATACTCTCCGATTGAAGTAGTACAGTAATTGGTCACCAATGTAAGCAGGAATTCTGGTGGTTTGCTGGTTTGACAAATATTTTTTGTTTGTTTTTCTCTGCAGAAGGGATCTGTAACATGACGATGGACTCCAACTCGATGACGATGCCCATGTCTGACCCCAACCCCTGGGCAGCTGCTATGAATAACATGGGGATGCCTCCTATAGGAATGACAGGACAGCCACTTCTACCAGGTACAACTCATTTCATTCCCATACTAAATGTCCACAATTCAAATGTGGACTTCATCTGGGTATTTTCAGACTATAGATTTTTATTAAGTATCCAAATTTCTGAATTAATAATCTGATTAGTAACCAGTTCAAGAAGTGGAGTAATAATGGAACTGTGCAATTGTGTTGACGTAGCTTCAGCTTCAGCTGTTTTAAGTGATCTTGTATTAAATGGAATAATTTTCTAAATAAAAGCCCCAGTGTTTTCTTTCTTAATTTCCATCTAAAAACATTCCTTAATTTACACACACACAAAAAAAAAAAACGAAACAATTGAAAATGTGCAATGGTTAGTTATTTTTAATCTCATTTGGTTCATCTAATGGAAATATTGGGTTTTCATACAAGCTGAAGCCGGGGTTTCTCAGTATGCACCACTGTCTTCGCTTTGTTCACTGACGTCTCCTGCATTAGAAGGTGGGGGAAGCGCGCTCTCTCCTGTGTCTGTGCTGCTCGTATAAAATAAATATGCTGGAATAAGCAGGATGAGCTGAGTCATCAACGTGGAATTGCAAGCTGGTAATCAGTTATGCTGGCACATGCAGGCAAGCTCTGACTGACGGAGGCTGATGTGACCCAATCGAGGCCGGATCAGAAAAAAGAAGCAGGACTTTGCTCTTTACAAGTATTACCACATAGAGTCCTTTATAAACTAACACACAGGCGGATGTTTGAAAGCCTTTATTTCTGATGAGGATTTTCCATTTAATTATTTGTCTATGAAACAGTTTGCTTTTTGACAGTGAAGGTCAAAGAGCAAAGATGAAACATGAAATCAAATTGTATGCAGACATCCAAGACAGAATAATCTGGAGGCACAAATGTTGGTGCAAAATAATTTAGTTCATGTTCGAAGTGTATAAGTATAGTTGTTTCTGAGCTGGAGCTGTCCTAATGTGATCCAGATGCATGAAAAACGGTAAACTCGATCTGTATTGAATCTTCAGATATCAAATAAAGGTTTCACAAATCACAAACAATATCCTGCAAATATTATTGAATAATCTAGTCCAGGTATGAAGTGCCTGAGATTCATAGTTCTTAAACTAGAGCTGATCAAAGATGCTCCGGGTAGTGAAAAATAAGGTGGAATTGCCCTTTAGCCATTTCCCAAATTGGAAGATGCAATCAGAAGCCAACTTCCTGTGTGTGGCGTTCAACCAATTCTTCAACTTTATCCGCTGTATAGTCTGAATGACTCTCCTGCTTTCACGTTGGCTTATTGTAAAATCCCACCAATGAACTCACAGAAATTTTCCAAAACTTTCCAGAGGATTGAAGATTTTCAAAGAATCAAGCTAAGATAATGAAGTTCAATAGATCGGTGTTAGCCCCGCCCCTAGGTGACTTGATGACATTTATTAATGTGTCTTCTGCCTAAATTACTCAGTCATTTAGTTAAACTTTTTTTTTTTCATGGTTACTTTTAATCAGTGATTTAATTATGTATTTATTGATTTAATTTTGTCCCCTTTGGTCCTCCGCACACTGTAGCCTGCAGTGTTTTTTTTCCCTATTTTTTTCATCCAAAAAGGACATTGGCTCCTAGAGTAGCGGTGAAAAAAGGCTATTATGGAAAATGATCCTGCAGATGACGACTGTGATTGGTGGATGAAGGATATAAATTGACTAAAAGTGGCTAGTTTTAATTCTAATTCCTGAGCATATCATCCTAACATAAGCATGTTGTTGTTTTAACCCAAAGTCTGAAGTCACTCGGATGCAGCGGTTAAAGTAATTCTCATGTTTGTCAATATATCTTCCTCTCAGAGGGTGTGAGCCTCCGTATTCTTATCTTTCCCGCACAATATCCAGTCCAACCGATTGCAATGCTATCTATAACATTAGGTTCAGCTTCTCCCTCCCACTCTCCCCTTCTGAAGAGGCATTCTGCTGCATCTTTTCTCTCTCCTCGGTAGAAGCCTTTCCCTAAAGCTTTTTATAAATCACTTCCCACTTCTTAGCTGAAATGCACTTTCATATTTGAAACGCGCCAGCCTTGTGTGTCTCTGTGTGCAGATTCACGTGTGTGTCTGAGAGCACGCGCAGATGAACGGCCTTCCAAACGCACTCCTCAATAAAGAGTAAGGGTAACATACTTTCATGCTCTCACACACATAAACGTAAGCATGATATATTTGAAACATGGTAAATAAAAGCCTTTCAACCAAAGAAGGAGCAGCTTTTCATAAAAGCGGAAAGCGACAAAAAAAAAATTATAATGTAAGTGGGTTTTCAGGTTTATCTGAGCCTTTAAATATCTGAACAAGACAGTTTATTTTTCCGGCTCATTTTCTTTTTTCACACAGTCAACCTAAACGCCACACTGCATGAAATGTTTGCTTTAGACTCGCGTGTCAGCGGTGAAAGTAAACCCCTAGAAGAAATGCTCACAAATGACAAGAGATGATTATTATCAGGAGAGCAGTAAACTTTGCTATTGCAGGGATTGCTCTAATACGTTTAGCATCTAAAACGTAGCATTTTTGATCTCCTGTTGCAAATATAATCCTGGGTTTTAGCTCTTAGATTTGTGGAAAACAAATCAAACCAACAAGGAAGCAACCCAAACTAAACGTCACAGGTCGTAGAAATTTGTTAAAAGGAGAAAATCATGTAGCTGGAGCCTAGACAGCGAACATAAACACATCTTACCTAGAGTCGACATTACAGATGAAATGTCTGTGATAGAGGCTGATGAACCCCCACTGACATCCTTGCTTTGAACTTTATTTGCAGCCGTTTGAGACCTTTTACAGCAGCCATTTAACTCCCTAGCAGGAAAAGCGCTCCTGTAACTAAAATCACTAATGGAGACTACACCAGTGATGCAATGTCAGAACCGTGAAGCTTGCAACCATAAATGAAACGCCGTAATTAGCGACGTTATAAAGCTGCACCTGTGTTTAAGTTCAAATACCCGCTGCGAGGAAAGTTAATGAAACAGCTCTTACACTTAGTCAAGTCCTCTGACAGTTTTTCTAAAACAACCAGCTGAAATGAAATAACCAGTTGGCTTTGGTCTCTGTTATGTGATGTGAAAAGAAAAGCTCAATAATAGATCTCGGAGAGGAGAGCTCAAAGGCTTTGCACTCACACAGGTGTTTGCACTCTTTAGACCTTTTTTTTTTTTATGTCACACACCATGTATCGTTTATTGGAAATAGATTTTTATTCTGCAACTTCAAATTCACAGGGTTTACACTACTGTGTCCTGATTTGAACCAGTTTTATAGGGTGGTGGCCTAACATCTTACCAGACTTTATAAAAGTTATATCAATCCAACACAGAATGAACCACTTTATTATACATGTGCAAAAGATAGCAATGTGTAGTAAGTAATTAAAAACTGATATAAAAGTAGAAAAACAACCAAATGACCCATTCGCAGCCACCAGGAGACAAGGTAAAGAAAATTAGGTCACAATACCTTGTTAGGAAATCTCTAATTCCTTTTATCTTAACATGTTTATGCTTGCTTTAGCTGAAGTTTGTCCAAATTTGACCGTTTCCAGAAATGTTTTCATCCACATGGAGAAACAGAGATCGGCCCAAAACATTGCTTTTACCCCCCCGGACCTGTAAGTGTCACTAAATATGGAGTAATGAACATGCGCATAAAGCCACCACACTGCGTTAGCTATAAACACAACAAGAAAACAGCAAAGGCAAACATAGTGCAAGCGCCTTCTTTTGTAAAACTTTTTGCAGCTGCGACTGCATCTACAGCTGGATTAATTTTTGGTCAAGACTAAGCAGCAATTTGACGAGAATGTCACGAGTGAGACAGAAAGTGAGACCTTGGCAAAGTGAAAGACATCCACTTTGGGGAAAATACAAACTAAAATCTTTTATTTGCAAAAAGCAGAATACTTACTCATAGTAAAAAAAATAAAAATAAAGAGTGCAATGCAATTTTGTTGCTGCTTGGGTTGCATGGGTCTTTTTAATTTGACAAAAGTATGTATAATTAGTATTTAGTGCAATTCTTTATTTACAATGAATGAAGAACTTTAGCTCATATGAGGCTTACATGCTTTTTAGGAGTGTTGGGGGGGATTCTCAGTGCTTATCTAACCAAGATAAGCATTGAAGCATTAGTCTGTAATTTGCCACTAAATGTGTTTACGCTGATGTGAACGGGAAAAAGCAGAGCCTCACAGTTGGCGTCACAACTTGGATGTCGAAATGAGTGCTATTCACAAGTGGAAAACTGCTTGTTGCAGTGTCCTCAACACAACGCCCATCATTCATCTCCTTTCTGGTTAACTAAAGAATGGAAATGTGATTACTTTTATTTGATTAGAAAATAGAGCAAAAGGAGTGTGCAGTCCAGAAACACAATCAACTAGCAGAAGAGTAATTACTTCTTACCTTAACAGTGAGAAAGGTTGATTCTGGGTGTTGATAGAGCTTTAAATTAATGAGGACGTATGACACATTAGGCACTAAAGGTTCAGCTACAAGGTAGATGGAGAGGAAGTGAGAAGTATTGGTGTTAAAAATAACAACTGTTCTTGTCTATTACATTCCAAAATCCCTTTCTTTTGTACTTACATTAACTCAGAACCGCAATCGAAGAGCTGCTGTGTATATCCTCCTCTCACTGCAGAGCTCAGTCAGACCATCTATTACACAATATAGATGACCAACTATGAGAAATGACAAGCATGCACTTTAAATGCTCCACGTTCATTAAGTTTCTGTTCCTCAAACAAACTTTAACTAAATAATTTTGATAAATGAACTTCATAAACGTACTTCTTTGCCGTGCATCACAATCATGTCTGTAGTTCCCACATTTTTCTAAATCGCCCACGCCAAGAAAAGCTTTCCTACTGAGCCGCAGGAGAGATGTGAAAACGTTCTCGCTCTTCTCTTTTCACAGTTTACGATAACGTTTAACGGCAAAGTACCTCAAAGTTGGCTTCTAGAGCCAAACCTCAACTGTCAGGTTGTC